CTACATATGGTATTGACAAAACCAGTTTACTCAAACCTACCATAGGTAGGTTTTAAGTAAACTTTAGGGTATCAATGTACAAGTATTTACAGACTTACAGCTGGGTATCTCGAATTTCGAGATTTCTACCTAAATTAGGCTTAAATGACTGGACTAATATGAAATAAGCAACAAAAGGGTTCTCCTTTTGGGACCAAAATTGTTTCATTTTTTGGAAATATATTACCATTATCTGTTGCAATACAATAATACAGTTTTTATCCTTTCAATAGCCCCTGGAATTTCAACAGAAGCACCCTCGGCTTGCCAAATCATAGGTCCTATCCAGGCCGATTTAAATGATTGCCGTGGTTACTATTCTTGTTTGGCAGTTGGTCAAAACCCTTTGAGGTAAATTAATATATATAATAAACTAGTTGTAAGCTAAGGTGACTATACGTCCTGGTTTGGCCGGGACTTCCCGGATTTCCACCTTGTTTTCCGGGTTTTTCTAAAAGCAAAATTTGTCCTGGATTTAGAACTTCTGTCTAACTATAGTCCAGGACAAATTATATATATATATATATATATATATATATATATATATATATAATATTATATTACAAGACAACAAAACCCTCCTCTCCATCCTACAAGACTACAAATTGCTGTCCCGGTTTTGACTTAAAAAAATATGGACACCTTATGTACGCCAATTTGCTAATTTTATCTTTTTATGTGAGTTTTTATCCAATTTCGTCGAAAGGCTTTAAAATGTTTGAAAACAGTGCTGCCCTTTTTAGGCAACAGCAATATCAAGTCAAAATTTGGCTCACATATTCGTTTTCTAACTCACAAGTACTTTTTTGTTGTAAAACGATTCAGAATAACTTGTAACGTCAAGAGAACAAAATTAGCAAAACAAAATTTTCTGGACAATTTGTAATAAGACCTATTATATGCAATATATATATTTATATTTATATTTGAATATTTAGTCTGAAAGTGTTAGAATTTTACCTACTGGCAAGTTGCCAATGTATAAATTTCATGCAAATTGGAGGCCCAAAACGCTCCATTGACTGAAGTAAATATTTCGTAGCCAATGCCAAATTTTTGAATAAGTAATTTTTTTTGTATTGTGATTTAATGAAGTAAGGGAAAACACGACTGCATTGGTTAGAAAAATGTGCCAAATTGAATTATATAAATTCATCTGCCAAATATACTGTATCTTATATTATTTTAATTTTTGGCACATCTTAGCTGCTTTTTGGTAATATAATAATATAGAAATTTCATTTTTCTTATTTATAATCATGAATATAGTATATTCTAATATTGTCCAGGCTCATAAGTGAACTGAAACATCTGGTAGGTAGCTGTTCTCATTTGTCAAACTATTTTCAATGTCAAACAATGACATGTCGTTTTTTGCAATATTACTATATTTTGATAATCATTTACATCCTCAAAATTTCTTTTAACAAACTGCAGAAAGATTTATCAACATCCGAATAACCGTTTTGGAGGAGTATCTTTACATACATCATTACAGAAGAATTTTATATATAAGATACATAATTTTTCTTACAGATTTCAATGCAGTACCTATGCCCATTTCGATCCATCCGTGATGTTATGCAAAAGTGGACGTTGTTACAATAATTCTTCTACAAGTTCAACCACCACTCCAACTCCTAGTCAACCACCAGTAGATCCTCCTGTAGATCCTACGGATCCTGAAGCAGGATTCCCATAGATTGAAAAAAATTGTCTGTCTGGAAAAATAAAAAGACCACATGCAAGAATGTTAGTGACTATTAGAGACAATAAAACTGTTAAAATTGAATTTTATAGCAAAACCAAACTTCTACTTCGTGACGTTAAATGCTTAACTATATTTATCTGTACAGTATTAAGAATAAAACATATTTGTGATTTTATATGATAAATTTACGAAACGCACGTAACGTAGCCGCCACGTAACGAACAAATCGAAATATCTTGAACGTTGTTACAATAATTCTTCTATAAGCTCAACCACCACTTCAATTCGTAGTCAACAACTGGTAGATGAACACGGGGTATTCTAATATTATCTAGGAATCCACCTGTAGATCCTACGGATCCCGAAGCAGGATTCCCATAGAATAAAAAAAAGTCTGTCTGAAAAAAAAATATATATATATCCCAGTAAACCACAGAAGTTACCACCACGTAACACATTTTGTAACTTTCGTTTCGAAACTGATGTTAAGTAAACGAACCGATGCTGTTACGTATAGTTGTGAGCTTTAACCACCGTCGACGCGTTTAAACGTTTACAATACTGCTTTGTTCGCATCTGTCGGTACGTGGCGTGGTACGTTGCACGGTCACATAGATTCGCCTTTGAGAATAGCCGTGAAGTGTTTTATGATCGAAATGTCAAATTAAATATAGGTTAACTCGGTCAGTGCATCGTGGACGCATAATTGAGTATTTTATCGTGTATGTTTGAAATGCAAGATATTTCCTTTATTGAAGCGTTATTTATTAATTGCTTTTATATTTAGTGCGAAATCAGTTGTAGAAATTAGTTAAACAGTCAGCTGGAAAAGTATTTAATATGAAACCGACAAACAAGGTGAGTCTAATTGTACTGAAATATATTTTAATTTATAAATTATTATAATAATGTTTAGTCCTTTGCAGTATATAGGCCGCCTTCAATGCAAAGTCTGTTCATGTATTGTGATAATTGATTTGTCATGTAATAATTGAAATTTCTAACACACCAGTCAGAAACATAACCTCAATTCAGTGATATATGAAAAAGAGAAGTAAGTTATATAGTTTTATACATATTCATTTTTTATAGTTCCATTAGTATCAGAACTATTTAGCTAAGCACAAATTGATATAAGTTGGTTTTCAATTGTAGAGAAAATTATAGTGCTGATAACCCCTACGAAAATGGATTTCAAGCTAGGGAAATTTTCTCCAATAGAGAAGATAAATACAAAGTTAGATAATATATTAGAAATTATTAATCCTTTGTCACCAAAAAAAAAACAAGCAAGGCTTAAAAACATGCAAGAAGAAAAATAAGAACACATATCGATAAATAAGAACACATATTAAGATTAAGTGTTGAAAAGAAAATGAATTGTGGAGTATTTCTTAAGTGATGATATTGTATTACAGAATAGGTATATTAATGTTTTACACAAAGAGAATTTTAACTAATATGATTTAGTACTAATTTGTAATGTTTTACTTTTAGGAAATTCACATATTTAATACGAAACCAGCAAAGGTGAGTATAATTGTACTGTTTTTTTTTTTAATTTACAAATTATTGTATTAATGACTAATTAGTTATTTTCAGTATATAGGTCATGTGCAATGCAAATTCTGTTTATGTATTGTGATAATTGATTTATCACATAATTATTGAAATTTCTGACAGACCAGTCAAAAATCACATAACCTCAATTCAGTGATATGATATGAATATTATAGGTAGATAAGTGTAATATATATGGTATCATACATATTCTTTATAATTTCATTAGTATCAGAACTCTCAGTTAAGCAAAAACTGATATAAATTGCTTTTCAATTGTAGAGAAGAGTGCTCATAACCCCTATGGGTTATGTCAAAATGGAATTCAAACTAGGGAAATTTGCTCTAATCAAGAGATAAATTGTCACCAAAGAACAAGCAAGACTTAAAAACATTCAAGAAGGAAAACAAAGAATGCACCGGATATCACACATTATATGGATTAAGTGTTGAAGAGAACATGAATTGTTGAGTATTTCGAGCCTGATGATCTTGCATTACAGAATTTTAACTAATATGATTTAGTACTAATTTGTAGTGTTTTTACTTTTAGGTAATTCAGATCTTGAAAATTAATAGGATAAAATCAATGCAAGAAAATTGAGTGTGTGTTTATGGAATAATTATCTCTGTCATATGATCGTAGGAACTACATAGTCATTAACTTCAAATAATGAGTATGCTTAGAGGTAATGTTCACAAATGACTAATTTGTTCACAATGTTTTCAATTCAAAATTTGTGTACAATGTTTCTAAGATGTTTGGTTCTATTTTAGATACATTAACAGATGCAAGTGAGTTGAACATATTTAACGCAAGACTTAACTTTGCCAAGTCTGATTTAACTGAAATTGCCAAGAGAGTTAAACATAATACATATTATGAATAAATAAATAATTATTTTTATAGGCTAACATTTTATGGACTATCAAATTTTAGTTTTCTAATGTTAACTATGTAATATGTAAATTTTGTATATTGTAAATGATAATATTTAATAAAATTACTAAATATCCGAAATTATTATTAATATTCTATATTTGCAGGAAATTTAATTAAATAAGTATGTAACATAAAAGACACCTACACGCTTTTTTATTCAATTTAGATACGTAGCAAAAATGTAACCGCGGTGTATTAGTGTGCAACGAAACAGCCGTTACGTTCTTGCCCGCGAAATAGATACTTCTGTGTGCCTCCCAGGTTACGTACCTGATTCGTGCGGACGTGCCAGCGTTACGTAACGTTCATGGCTTTGTTACGTTTTGTGGTTTACTGGGTATGCTTCTTGTTCGTTACAATAAAACTGTTAGAATTGAATTTTGTGGCGAAAACAAACTTCTCACTATTAAAAATTAATAATGAAACATATTTGTGATTTTGAATGATAAATGTACGAAACGCACGTAACGTAGCTGCCACGTAACGAACAAAAACGAAATATCTACATCAGCATCCATAAAGTTTTCCTGAATGTAACTTTTGTGGTTTACCAGGATTTATTTTGTGATTTATTTATTTTAATTTATGATTCTAGAACTGTATCATACTATTAATATCCGCAAATCATCAACAAAACCGTTATTGGGTCAATGTTAAAACAGGTCAACGTTTCAATAATTGTTTTGATTTGTGAAATTTTAACATAGATTCATCTGGCTATAAAATTTGCATACAAACCAGTTTTTATATATACAAAAATATATGCACATTTATATTAACAGATTAATATGTTTATTAGTTGATATACATGTATTATTAATATATAAATAGAAGTTCATTGCAAAATCTTTACCAGTTCCGATAATATTGCTAAGAAGTTATTGTGTGTAGTGCTAAAAAGTGTTAGTGTCATGAAACAAATTGTAAGTAATACTAGATAACATTACAAGAATATTATTATCAATATTATTAATCAAATGATATCAATATACCTGCAGTCGTTTTGTTTAAAAAAATTCTTTAAAATAGTTTTTCTCTTTCTATCAGTGAACTTTTTCAATTGAATTTTGATGGAGATTTTTTGAGATTATGAATAAGCCCAATTTTACACAAAAAAAAAATATGTTCATGAAGAATTGTCCAACACTTTTTTTAACTTATTTAAAATGTGGGATTGAAAAATACATGCAATCCCCAATTTTCACCTTCCTGCTATACTTTTAAATATTATTAATCACATTTAACCAGGTCGATTACTGGTCAATCACCCTTTTGTAGAAGTTTTTCACTAAATTTCTATTGAGTGGTTTTGTTTTGATTTAAAATTAAATTAAAATTTTAATTGTATGTATAACACAGCAAAGCTAGATCAAGTACAGCTAGTATTTTAATAAAATTCGTTCCCAAATATTCAATTTTGTTGCTATTTATGAAAAGGTGCATTCAGCTTCTATAAATCGCGTAATTGTTATATATTTTTGATCTACTTAATTCCATTACCATCGATTTTGTTTTGTTTCCAGACATATTTATCCCTTTTTGGTTTGCTGATAGCAACAACTTTATCTGTACCTTTGAATCAAGATGATGATCAATCAACTGTTCCGATCAAATCTGAAGAAGTAGTTGACACATCTTTGACCCAGGAATCAAATCCTGATGATCAAAAACAAGATGTTACTGAAAACAATGATGAAACATCTTCAACTGATTTAAATACAAAGAAAATTCAATCAGCAGATCAGTTATCAGTAAAAAAAGGTAAATTGGATTGGATCATCAGTTTTAAAAGTATTTGTATTCAATATTCAATTATTTTCACAGCTCGCACATGCCTGCTGTTTGGGCCTTTGAGATCACACGAGGTAGATTGTACTAAATATTATTTCTGTAGAAAAGTAGGCAAGAAACCAGTTCTTCAATCATGTAATCCCGGATGCTATTTTGATGACAAGGCTAGAAAATGTGTCGAAGGAAGTTGTAGTGGTGCTAATGATAATGGTAATAAATATTTATAAATGGTTTTGGTACCTTTTGTGCTTACTGGATTAAATAATACTTTCACATAGCATTGCCAGAAAAGTCCTCAACAAAGTATTCTTCATTAGATATTCTAATTCCTAAAAAATAATTTCTCAAATTTTTCCATTTATTAAATCTAGGACCAGAAAGTGCACCTCCTGCACCACCAGCACCACCTGCGCAATCTGCACCTCCCGCACCACCAGCACCACCATCAGTAGATTCTTCTTCAAAACCAGAAAGCGCAGATAAAGATCCAGTTGATGTTGATGTTGGATTACCACCACTCGTTGATCTACTTCGCAAATCTGTACCAGAATCAGATGCAGCATCATCTGAAACGGAAGTTCAATCAGGAAATCAATCATCCGAAGTTGGATCTGCATCAGAAGAAGGATCTTCCGAATCCGGAGTTAAATCAGGAACAGAAGAAGCATCATCTGAAACAGAGAAGGATCAAAAAGTAGATCAGGAGGTAGATGTAGTGCCTGAAAAACAGGAGAAAGAACATTTGGAACAGAATTAGTAGGATTTTTTGAAACATGACTAGTTTCAGGAAAAGAACCTTAGGATCTGAATTTAAATATGTCTAATATTTATTGTAATATATTTATTTATTTATTTTTACAAGAATATAAGTTTTTTCTTTTAAATGCTGTAAAATTATTTAATGCTTTAGTAGCATAAAGCTTTTCAAATAGTTAAACATAAATATAATAGTAAACCAAAAAAGATTTTATTGAAGCATCCATCAAATTATTAAAAAATAAAGAGATAGGTTTGAAATTTACTTAATAAATCTTGCAAGTGCTACAAGCTCAAATTTGACTAATCTTCATTCAGTGCATATCCAATTTCAATTATTCAAAAAACATTCAATTCCTATTGATGGGGAGTGATGAATAGTTTTTGGCAATAACATGTCAACCCGATTGGGGAATGAAGTGCAAAAAAGGCTAAAAATGGCAGTTTTTGAAAATTGTAGCAACCAAATTGTATCATTGAAAAAATATTTTACTGATGTGTTGACGCTTTGAAGAATTGATTACATTTTTGTGAAGACAGATCCAGTCGTTTTGGAGATGCAGAAAAAAATTGAAAAAAAGAACTACATTTATTGATCAAATATGATCTTTGGTTATTAAATGATTATTATTGATTAATTAAGTATACTTATATTAAGTATATAAGTAGAAATATTGGTAAATCAGTATACAGGTTTGCAGGTAATCAGGCAAAAAAGTTGAACGGAAAGCATGTAGACAGACAGACAGATGGACTGATAAACTGAAAGACAGGTAAGCTCATAGATAAATAAACATAAGAGTAAGCTGGTGAACAAATACACAAGTAAGCAGGTAAACAGATGAACCAGTAGACAGGTAAACAGGTGGTTACCACCGTCAGGTAACCAGGTGCACAGGTAAACAGGTAGAGGGATAAAAAGATAGACGAGAATGAATGTGGAGAGGTAGACATGTGACAAGTTGACCCGTAGATCATATAAAGAAAAAACGATTATTGAAGTAAAACTTCTTTAGGCGCGACTAGGTTGTAAATTTTTTCAAATGCAACAGAAGTGCGTTAGGGCGGAGTTGAGTGCCAATGATTCGTCATTCGCTCTCGATGATATCATTTCTATACGGGTCGATTATGATTAGTCATCGCGTATGTGAATAGAGATCTGTCGTTGTTTGCGTACCGGCATCAACGTTGTATGCGTACCGATATCAACAAGCAAATCGGCATAGATAAATTACCATTTTGAAGTTACATCGTAGTACAAATCTTAATTTAATGAAAAATGCCTGAATCAGAAGAATATTTTACCTTGTTCCTTAAAGATAATAAAACAAATTAAGCATTTGTGCCGAGTACTAAACGTAAGTTTATTGATTAGAAGTTATTTCTATATTATTCGTAGTTTCTATAAATCTTTGAAGTTATTAAAATGGAAAATATTTTTTAGGCAAGACAGATATTACAGGTGTTCAAAGAATGAGACTGTATCGCCAGTGAAAAAGTCAATGAATGTATGTTAATTTTAATTACATAAAGTTCTTCAAACACAATTACATGATGAGTGAAGTTGCAAAAACAATATTTGTTTAGGCGTTGTTTAACATAATCCACTGTGTGAACGAATATTATAGAATTTATTAATCAGCAATTACTTCATTTCTCTAATGAAGATTCATTTCTAAACGCTAATTACAATGACAAACCGATCATGTCATATTTGAAGTATGACTTTAATTACATTATTGTTTTTAAATGTTATACATATTTTTAATGCTATTATAAATATATATTTTATCATTATATAAATGTGTATAATGGTTGTCCCTAATAAATGTGTGCATCACGAGTCTTACCATATTACTAATAAACATTATTCAAAATTGTTATATGATGGATTTAGTTTTACGTAAATACCAACTTGTACAGTAGCAAATAAGTTTTACTTCAATCGCGCACTCTTTCTTAATTACTGGAGAAGCATTTAAATTAGTATTTTATTAGTAAATTCAATAACGCAACAAATTGTTTAATTGTTGTAATTTATAATTTGTTTTAGTTATTTTAATCCATACTTCTACAACTGTTACTGCCAAATAAGTATATCAACAAAAATACCGTTATTGGATCAATGTTATAACAGGTCAGCGTTTCAATGATTGTTTTGATACGTGAAATTTTAGCATAGATCCATCTGGCTATAAAATTAGCATATAAACAAGTTTTTTATTTATATGTTTAATAGATGAGCATGTTTATTAGTAGATATTTATGTATAAAATAACATATAAATATGTGCCAACAACAAGATCTTTGGCAGTTTCTTTTTAAAATTACTAGGGAGTGATCGTGTGTATAGTTTTAAGTAGTTTTTGTGATCATGAAACAGATTGTAAGTAATACTAAATTAAATTTAAAATATTATAATGTATTGAGTGGTTTCATTTTAAAAAAATCTGGACTACACATTTACCATCATAATTTTTTAACCTTAAATAATAACTAGCCTAAAAGAAAATCACAAATTATCACGTAGGAGAGGAGGGGTCTAGTAAGATATCACGTGTATTTATTTTTTACAGCAATTAAAAAAATAATCTAAAATTCTTCAACAAAAAATTCAACTTTTTTTTCTAGGTACTAAAAGTACGCGTGATGTTGTGGAGGAAAAGGGGGTCTAATTTTAAAGATCAGGGGGGCATCCAACAATCACGTGATCAATTTTTCAAGGATTTTTAGACTACCCCCTCTCCCTTGGTGATAGGTGGTAATATTCAAAGATACCGCCCCGCCCCCACAAAACTTTATGTGTATTTTTAGTTTGTAAATTTTTTTATTTTTTTTTAATGTTTAAATTTAAAAAAAAATCAGGTAAAAAATATATACCCCCAACCCCAAGTGACATTAATATCACGAAATATTTCGTGATTTTTTGTCAAACCCCTCCTCCCCCTAAAAACCTCACGTGATTAATGGACGCCCCCTCACCATGTATCACCAAGGGGGATTTTATATATTAAATTTCATATATTAAATTTATCTTATAATAAATTTATAAATCAACGTAAAAAAATCTACGAAAAAATGTAGTAACTATACTTCCATGTCGATTCGCGTCCATGATTGTACGTAACAGCAACGTATTATTAACGCAACCCTTGGTTACGTAACAAATTTTCCTTTCCATCAAACGTTTGTGGTTCGCTTGGATTTGTTTTGTGTGTTTAATTATTCAAATTTATAATTCTTGACCAGTTTTAAACGATTTGTACATTACCGTATCCGGAAATTCGAAAAATGCCGTTATCAGGTCAATGTTAAAAAAGGTCAACGTTTTAATAATTGTTTTGATTAGTGAAATTTCAACATAGATGCATCTGGCTATTAAATTTACATATAAACGTGTTTTTATTTACACAAAAATGCATTCACATTTATATTGATAGATAAATAAATATATATATCTGTATGGATGGCATCATGCTTTAAGGCAAATTGCTGGAACTTTCCGTATCGTAACGAAATGTTCGAGGAATATTAAATGTTTTCAAATAGATTATTAAAAATAAATAATGTAACATATATTATTATTTATTTATTTATTATACGCCAATCGGCTATATAATTTAATTTAATAAACATTGTCTAATATTTATAAGAATTATATAAACTGAATTGCATAGTTGAAAATATTTATTTAAAGTATATTAGAACTTGTCAGAATTACAAATAAAATCTAAATTATTTTCGATATACAAAAAAATATCTAAAAAAAAAATTAAACAATTTTTTTTTCTAAAAGCAATTATTTTGTTAAAACAAGCAGGAAGGTCTTTCAATCATTCAAATCGGACGCTTAGGAAGGTTTCTGAACATTCTGATACAATTTTTCGTCCACGTTTTTGGGCGCACGGATTAACCGATTTGAGTGGTTAAAAAAACATTCGATTCCTATTGATAGGGAGATGTAGTGATTAGTTTTTGGCAAAGATTCAGGCGTTTCGGAGATTCAGAGCAAAGAATGCAGAAAATAGAAATCGAGTTTTTGAGAGAACGGAGCATCCGATTTGAATGATTCAAAAAACATTTGATTCCTATTGATAGGGAGATGTGCTGATTAGTTTTTGGCAAAGGCAGGTCCAACCTTTTCGGAGTTATTGAGCTAAATGTGCAAAAAATGGCAGTTTTTGAGAAAAAAGCATCTGATTTGAGTGATTCAATAAACTTTCTCCTTGTGTTGACAAAAAGATTGCTTTTGGAAAAAGATTTTCTTTTCAATTTCCAGAAAATATATTTTTTTAATATGGAAAATAATTCTTATATTTATTTTAATTCTAGCTGAAGTTTTAAAGCTTACTTATATAATTCTTATAAAATATATATTAGACAATGTTACAGTATTTATAATAATCTATTTGAAAACATTTAATATTCCTCGAATATTTAATTACGGAACGAGAAGTTCCAGCAATTTGCCTTAAGGCATGATGCCATACACCACTAGTTGTGTTTTGTATTATAAATTACACAGTAAATTTATTCTCTTATTTTAGTAAAATTTGATCTTAAATTTTATAGCATTTCATATATAAAAAACACTTACCGTCTACAAATCTTTCATTTCCAATTGTCATAGCCATCTAATCGCATTACCATCCATTTTGTTCCTTTTCCAGACGTATTTACTCGTTTTTGGTCTGCTGATAGCAGCATCTTTGTCTGTACCATTAGACCAAGCTGATGATCAATCAACTGTTCCAATCAAATCTAAAGAAGTGGTTGATACCTCTTTGACTCAGGAATCAAATCCTGAAGATCCAAAACAAGATGTTACTGAAAACAATGATGAAACATCTTTAACTGATATAAATACAAAGAAAATTCAAGTAGAAGATCAGTTATCAGTAAAAAAAGGTAGATTGGATTAAAACATTTCTAAAAGTATTTCATGTTCAAAATTTAATTATTTTTACAGCTCGCACATGTCTGCTGTTTGGGCCTTTGAGATCCCACGAAATTGACTGTACTAAATATTATTTTTGTAGAAAAGTAGGAAAGAAACCAGTTCTTCAATCATGTAGTCCCGGATACTATTTTGACGACAAGGCTAGAAAATGTGTTGAAGGAAGTTGTAGTGATGCTAATGATAATGGTAATAAATATTCATAAATGGTTTTGCTACCTTTTGTGCTTACTGGATTAAATAATACTTCCACATAGCATTGCCAGAAAAGTCCTTGATAAAGTATAATTTTTATGTAATCTGCCTGAAAGAAAACATAAAACCTTAAATTTTTCTAAAAAATAATTCCACAATTTTTATGAAATAATTAATTCAATACTTATAATCTTCATTGGCAGTTGGAGCTGGAGCTGGAGCTGCAGCAACATCTGGAGTACCCCCAAACAAACCAATTTCAGAAGCTTCTAAACCAGATAGAGAACCTGTCGATATAGTAAGTAAACCAGGAGCATCAAATCCTGGACAAGAACCACTAAATGGAGACATGTGATCATTTGGAATAGGACAATCATAAATTCTATCTTCTGAATTTTAATCTTCTGGATCTAGAAGTTAGTCAGGATAATCTGGAACAGAGATAATTCTAACTCATGGATCAGAAACAGGCAAATGAGATCCGGAAGAAGACTAGTAGGATTTTTGTTAATCATGACCAATTTCTTCTTAATCAGAAAAATTATATTGAATATTTATAATTATATATTTATTTATTTATTTGGACACTTTTAATAAATTTATTGTATACATAAATTTGTTTATTTTATAAATTAAATATATATTACAGCAACCAAATAAAAAATGAATTGATATTGGTAAGTTATATAGTAATCGTCCAAGAATCGAAAAAAATAATTTTGTATCTTCACCTTTCAGGGGTTTCTGAACATTTTGGCATACCTTAGAAAAAAATGATGTCTGAGTCAATTGCATGTAGTATGTAAGTATGTATAGATACAATTGTTCGTCGACGTTGTTGGGAGCACCGCTCAACCGATTTGAATTATTTATAAAGCATTCGATTAGATTTTGTAATTCCAATCACTCGAAATGAATGGGTATCAAACACCCATTAGAAGTTAGTCATCAATTCAGCAAGATATAGAAAAATGATTACTACTTGCATGAGATTCTGCATTGAATTTTATTTGAGTCGAATCTTGTCCAAATTCTTCACAAAATAAATCTGATTTATCAATATCATCTAATTTCTGATTTGTTCTTGATTTTGCTTACTAAATATTCCAATACAATTGATGAATCTGCTCACTGAGACATTAATTATATGATAATTACTAATTTGATATAATAAATATAAACATGAAAATAAATATAAATGTTATAAACATATTTATTCAACCTAAACTATTTAAATTAGCCATTAAGCAAACAAGACGTTTTTCAAACAACTGTCAAAACATTTAAAACATGGCGTCATCGCGCCAAAATTCAAAATTCAAAATGTTTTTGCAACGTTAGAAATAAAAATAGATGTACAAAATAATACAAAAGTATATTATTATACACATTATAAAAGTTATTATTATATATTAAAGACGTTTCTTCTTAATGCTAAAATCTAAAACTGGCTTGTACAAACCTTGGCATTATAACTCACAAACTTAAAAATATGGATACACTTGAAGACTTTCTATCTCAACATTATTTATATCAAATTTACAGTAAAAATGTATACATTATAAATATATATATATATATATATATATATATATATATATATATATATACATATATTACACAAGCTCTTCTCTTCCCATATTGATCATTTCTTCATTAATTATTTGATTATTGTTCAAAGGCAACACATCTCCATCATTTATTACTTCACAATCAATTTTATCATCATGAGTAATATTATCATCAACACTTTTGTCCTCTTTCTCTCTTTTAACCTCAATTTCTTCACACGAGAAGTTATAATCATAATCCAGCAGCTCAGAAATCACTTTTGGTTTACTCAAATCCAAATTGAAATTTAAAATATCCTTATCAATACTTTTTAGTAATTTTATTACAAACATTATACAAAGTTAGTAATATATATTTTATACTAATTCTTTTCTCTTCCTATATTGATCATTTCTTCATTAACTAATTGATAATTGTTCAAAAGCAACAAATCTTCTCCATCATTTATTACTCCACAATCATTTTTATCATCATGAGTAATATCATTTACAAAACTTTTGTCCACTTTCTCTTTTTTGACTTCAATTTCTTCACACGAGAAGCTATAATCATGATCCAGTAGCTCAGAAATCACTCTTGGTTTACTCAAATCCAAATTTGAATTTAAAACATCCTTATCAATACTTTTTAGTAATTTTACATTAACAGACTCATCACAATCAACAAATATGTTATTGTGTAGATCTGGGTGTTTGAAAATATTCATTATTGTTTTGTCTTTAAAAAAATCTTGAGCACTAACTGTTGATAATTTGTCTTCTTGCACAACCAAATTGCATTTACCAAAATTCAAACTTAACATTTCATTTATAAAAGTTTCTGAAGTGACTTCCTTGTTCTGAAACTTTTTTGTTAAATATTCAAAGTAATCAGCTTCTATTTTTGGAGTAAATGTGACGGTATCATTATCAGTTTTTATTGTTTCTTCTTTTATTATTGTAGGCTTTATATCTTTAGATTTATTATCACTTTTGCTTCTGAAAGGAACAACGTTATGGGATAAAGGATGGGTTACTTTCTCCAAGTCTTCAGTTTGAGCCACAAAACAGTCGGAACAAAAATCTATGGATCGGTTTCTACAATCCATGCAATGCCAACGAGTTCCTATGATTGGAGATTCTTTGCAGAAGTCACACTAAAAAAATATAGCCATTGATAAAACAATCATGAGACAAATTAATCATATAATTGCAATTGTACTTACAGTGTGTCTAACATGTACACTATAAGGTCTTGAGTCATCTTTTTGTTTATCTTTTAAAACCCTTTTCAAAATACGTAAAGAATATTTATCAACAGTCATAGTATCGTTTTCATTTGTTGAATCATCAGAATTGGTGTCTGATTCTGTTACTTCATCATCTGTGTAATTATCTACTTCAGAAATCTAAAATTTAGATTTAATAAGATTAATATATATATATATTAGATGATAGAGTCTTGAATTTGTAAATATTTTGTAGAGCTTCGAACAAAGAATCCAGAAAGTAATATATATATATATATATATATAATATATATATATATACATATATATATATATATATATATATATAAATTTACCTCTTTGGGTACTTGCGCAATAACATTCTGAGTATTCTGATTGTGCAAACTTTGTAACCCATTTGGTATTGTCAATGTTGGAAAGAATGTCGAAGGTTTAATCAAACTGAATGAATTATGAAATACAGAATTTTTTAAAGACCTCTGTAACCAAAAATTTAGATAAATAACAAATACATTTTACATATATTGTTGCTAGAAACCAAAAGACAATTAATATTGTTACCTTTCCGGGGCGCATCCTGGGCAATCTACCAGGAACAGGCAAACCTGCTTTATGCAGTTTGATAAAATATTTCTGTATTCGACTTGCCACTTGTTTCGTAGTCCTATTACCTAAAGCTTTTGCTATTTTTGCAAATCTACGCATTTCAACTTCTTCTGAAGGAAATTCAATTAATAATTCTTCCAATCTGCGTTGTTCAGCAACTGTCCACAACTATAAAAAAATACTAATAATAAAATTGATAAAGAAAACATACTTTGAGTTGATAAAAACTTTAAAATTAATACTTTATCAGATTTTGCAGAATGTCTGTTTTCTGTCAAGCGATAAGAATCGATTTTTTCATTAGATGTACTTTGTTGTTTATCATCGTTGTAAATACTTTTTGCTTTGTTTAATAAATACTCAGGAACTTTATTCTCGTACTGTTGCAGATCAATTTGTGGAATCTAGAAAAATAATACATATATATATATATATATATATATATATATATATATTATATATATATATATATATATATATACAAATGTATTGTTCATTTTAATTACATTAACCAGTGTGATTCTGTCAGGTAATTTTAACTCTCCGCTTCGTAAAGAACTAACAAACTCCACAGGTTTTTCTTGTGACAACGTTAGGGCTGCATTTAGTGTATCATAATTCTGAAAAGCAAACAGATTTTAGACATTTCTTATACATATTACAAAACTGTGTAGTTGATCTCAATTTATCCACCTTTGTCTTATTTATTACCTTTAACATTTCATCTTTCTGAGCACTGAGCAAAATGTAAGCCCTTAATAATTTCTGATAATCTTTATTGTTTCTCAAAGCTAAATGGTCAGATTCAAAGAAAAATTCATCAGGATCTTGTGAAAATAAATTTTCTTGTGAAGAAGTACTTTCATCGACTGAATTGGAGTCTTTGTCAGAAAACTCTGCCTTGTCCAAGGAATTATCCATGATGATAATATAATAGATGATATTTGTTAACTAGTTTATTGATAATAGGTGTATTTTTTGTTTCATAATATTTTGATATGAAAGTAATTAAATAAGCGTTAAATATAATGATTTATTTTAAAAAATAAATGTGTTTTTGTTCACAGGTTATAACATGTTGGGACATAACCTCACTTTCTGACGTTTTGAAAAGTTCTAAAAAGAAATTCTAATATAAATATTTAGTTTTATGATTTTGTTTATTAAATTGAATTTACTTTTTAATTTTCAACTAAATTCAGAAATAAACATAGTACAACAACTAATAATATCTAGTTTTTATAAAATATTTGAATACATCTAATAAAATTTAAATTTGGCGCTTTTATACTCATCAGAAAAGTCTAACAAGATTCTAATCATAGATAAAAGAAGATTCTAATAAAAATGAATGAATGAATATTTAGTTTTATGTTTTTGAATATTTAAATTCATTTTAATTTTCAATTTTGAAGAATTATAAATAGTATAACAATTAATAATATGTATTTTACAATAAATATTTAAATAAAACTAATAAAATTTAAATTTTGCGCCATTTTTCTCATGAGAATCCAATTCAACTAAGGCAACACTAAATAAATTTATGTTATCAGTAAAAATGTCTTTTGCATGATTTTTATTTTATAATTTTTCTATTCAGTTTTAAATATCATGTCAAGTTTATTATATTTTTACGTTTTTTTGTACTACTAAATATATTTTGTATAAACAATGTCATTTCTGGTCTTTCCTCTAGTCAGTATTATCAACTGTATTTTTTAGCTTTTGTACTAAAATTTTTATAATTAGAATTAATTAGTAAATAATATACATGTACAATTCAAGCTTGGTAAGCATAAAATTTTAGTATTTGCATTTGCTTACCTTGCAACTTATCAAATTACAATCAACGAGTAAATCTACCATTGCAATTCTTTATATATAAGAAAGTATTTTTAAAATGTCAGAACTTTATAAATGCACTTTGTCTGCTGAAGATTATTTATATGCTGAAGAATATTTGGGTGAAACCGAATCAATCCGGAATGATAGTATCAGGGAAATCCAAGAATGGATCCAAGACAACCCTCATATAAAAGCCAGAAACGATCCAGTATCAATCTTACATTTTTTAAGAGGCTGCAAATTTGATATTCCTAAAACAATAGCCAAAATCAAGCATTTCTACATAGCCAGATCTAAAATAACAGAATGGTACCAAAATAGAGACCCTCATTTGTGTGAAATCCAAGAACTTATTGATTTAGGAGTGTTTTTACCTCTAAAAACAAAAGATGCTCATAATAGATTGATTGTGGTAATTAAAGCGGCTGCACACGATCCCAAAAAGCATTTACAAGATGATGTTTTTAAAATCGGGCAAATGATTATGGATTTAGCTTTACATTTGGATGAAAGTGTATCTGTATATGGAGTTGTTGCTATTTTTGATCTTGAGAATGTTACTTTAGGGCATGCCTTGCAGTTGCATCCGGGGATGATTAAGAAGTTAGTTGATAGTTGGAAATTCTACCCAACAATGGTGAAGAGACTGGATTTTGTTAATGCTCCCAGTTTTGTTAACATCGTACTTGATGTCTTTATGTAAGTACCTGCAGTCATATTTATGTTAAAATTTATGTTCACATAATTTGGTTTTAGGAAATTCATGACCAAAAAGCTTCGTGATCGAGTCACTGTCCACAGAACAGGTCTTTTAGACATTCCAGGACTTCCTGAAGAATGTGTCAAGAATCCTAAAATGTTTTTTAAAGATTTAACAAATTATTGGAAAGAACAATTAAACTTGTATCGAGACTGGCTCAAAAACGATATGTCCACAAATCAACAAACATAAAATCTGTGATTTTGTAAAATTTTATATATATTTTGTATAATAAAAAATTCTATTATCAAAACATTATACTCCATACAGTTGTTTGAGAACATTTTTTATCAGTCTCTTTGTCTCCACAAAGTCTATTGAAGGTTGTTGTTTTTGGGAAGCCTAAGATTTCACGTTCTTCTTGTATTCGAAATGAAAATGTAGATTCATAAGTCCCTATGAAATATTTGGCATAGGAACAAATTATTTGTTCTACAATCGCTTTGCCTCCATCTTTAATTTTCATTTCGATATCTGATGTTGGTTTGAAAGTGTAGACTTTAATTTTTGGTTCCAAAAAGGACCTCAAGTCACTTATTTCTGGAAAAAACATGGAATAAAATACTTTTTATATATAAAATACATTTGCAATATGAAATACCTATAGAGGAGGCATCTGTTGCTAAAAATACAGTAAATATTTGTAGTTTGTTGCAGTTTTTTTCAATTTGTTGTGCTGCATACTTTATATTTGGAATGTGTTTTGAGCGACCCCATAAAAAATCTTGTCTGCGCAAATGCACTGATATATAATTTCCACCAATTGCATTTCTATTATACTAAAAATTAATATATGTATATAAAATTATTTTAAACATCATCTATTTTTTGTACCTTTTCATCTTTCCAACTTAAAGGTCTTAAAGTATTATCATTGTCATCTGTTGAGTTTAAATAAGTCTTTCTAAAATCATTGGCAAGTTTGACTAAGTTTTGACTAAACCTCATACTTCTACGAGCTCTCCAAAACTCAGGAGAGCCCCACGTATCATGCAAAGGTATTTCAGCATGAGCAAACATTATTGAACTAAAATAATTAAATGATATAAGTTATTGTTATTAAATATAAACTGATGTATGCATTAATATATACTTGGCTTTGCTGTCTTTGATTATATTCTTCAACAAACTAGTAGTTCCTTGAAATTTTAAACACTTTACAGTACCAAAAGTTACATTATTGTACCCCCATAAATCATTCAACTCAGTTTTTTCTTTACAATCATTTGTATACTCATATTTATCTTGAAAATTACCAGTTTCAAACATCTCTTCGAAATGTTTCAATATAAAAATCTCATCAATCACAGGACTTTCTTTTTTCCAAATATTATGATATGCAAAATAATCTTTCATCTCCACAACGGGAACATATTTATTCAAACTATCTACATCAAAAAATTCATTCCACGGGATTGAATTTTGATTTAAATGTTTGGATTTCCAATGAAACAGATCTGACCATGGTGGAAGTACTAGTACAAATCTTTTAATTTTCATTTTGTTTAAAATTTTAACAAATGTAGCCATTCTTATGTATACATCTCTCCGTAAGTTGAAGCCTTCGGGCTTGTTTACATCGTAGAAAATATATGTGTGCTCGTTGTATTTATTAATGTTAATGGTTTCACATTCAGAACTTGATTTGAACAGACTTTTTGCTCATTTTGAGTATCACAAATTATTAGAACTAAAGATAATAGTAAAATATAAAGTTTAAACATATTGGTTATCTTTGGTTTAAGGTTTTGGCTAGTATTAATATCATCAAATGGTAATTTAATATATATAATATATTACATATTTATTAACGACTAATATTATTTTTATATCACGATTTTATTTATTATTTAATCTTAAAAATTATGTATTTTTTATAAATTCTGACATTTTGAAAAATTTGACAGCTACAGCAATCACTGTTGTCAACTGTTATAAAAAATACATGTTCAATTTTTAAAAAACATTTTAATTCATTACACAAAGCCTAAAATAATTAAAAATAGGATTATTAATACTTATTCAAAATTATCAACTAATTTATGAAATGCTTAATACTAACTAAAACATTATTTAAATTTAAATGTGCTTGCAGCCAATATTCCACAATATGCAGCTAACTTCATAACAAAAAAAATATGGCGGTGTTTTTAAAATAAATATATATTTGCATAATTTTTATGTAATATAATTTCTTAATCAAATTCTAGTACTAATTATAGTGAGATAAACAATTTGATTAATTTATATAGTTAATAAACATCAATTAGGCAATGTTAATAGATGTAGATGTGTAAAAGTGTAGAAGTATACTTTAATTGCAATACGTGATTAAAAATATATATTACACATGTATATATATCTTCGTATATATTTTAATTATCTATTAATAATATAAAATCGTGTTTTTTATTCTTTTTCTTTTATTTGAAAACCAGTTTTTTGCATAAAAATTTAAAATTTTCATTTTAAAGATCACCAACATGGCGGCCAACTTATAAAAATAATGACAACTACAAAATATTTAAAAATAAATATTATTAAAAATCTATGTCAATAACTTTTAAAAACGTAAATTGAGTCTAAAATTAATTAAAAACTAATAAAATCTAAGGTACGTTTGTGTATCTATTATACCTACAACAATTTCTTTTTTTTTGTGTATACATGCAACCATTGTACAGGGTTATATTTAATACTCCTTGAAAAATTAGTAATAATATATAAAACATAATATGCACAGATATTTATTAAATTACTCGTATATAGGAACGTATTTCAGGTCGAATAGATATTAATTAACATATTATATATTGAATTATTTCATTTATAAATCTGTTTTATTGAAAACCTAACCTATAAGTCATCCTTTAAATGTTGTTTCTAATTGCAGAGGTGTTCAAAAGAATGTGCCTAAGTCTGATACATATGTAGTTGATCAAAGTACTGTTCAAGGAGTTATTGAACTTGCATTGGGACGGTTTAATAATCATGATCCACCTGCAGTCTCCATTTCCAGCAGGTGATAATCTACGATGGGTATAATTTCAGCTTATGATATCTTGTGTCATGGCTGTTAATATCTCCCATTCAATTCCTGCAGATTTCTATAATGTATCAAAATTTAGTATTCAATTATACACAATAACCAGGAATTTTTTTTTCATTCCAAAATAGGGTCATGTACTTGATTGTAATCATAAACAAAAATATCTATCTTATGCAATTTGATTTGTGCGTTTGAGTAATACATAGAGATTCAATCAAACTGTGACCCTTTTTGGGTTATTGTGGTTGATCTTTATTGATTTTGTTCATTTGAACTTTAGAACTGTAACCAGAAATAACATCTCTGGTCAAGAATAATTGCACAATTAAGATGGATACATTGAGCAACTTGTGCATTGTGCAGAATATAAATTAATTTCTATACCATATTATAAATGTATTATTTCAATATCTTTAATAATTTTATGCCATTTCCAGGACTGATACAGGTGTTCATGCTCTGAACACAACTTGCCACTTCGATTTACCAAAAATTTACAATTGCCATTATATAACTGTTTGCCTGAACTCCTTTTTTCGTAAGGAGAATGATCTGGTGCGAGTTATCAAAACAAGATTAGTGCCACCAACTTTTCATTGCAGATTTAACGCGGTGAGCAGGACTTACGTATACAGGTATAATAATTGATTGATAATAAATACATTTGTTTAAACTGAATACTAAAATGTTGTAAGATATCTAGAGATTGTTGTTGTTTCTCTTATTAGATTAATACAGTGGTTGAGAATAAATTTAAAAAATTAATAACCAAATATAACTACAAACTAAAATTTATTTTGTAAAATTACATTGAAAACATAAAATCTTGATTTATAATTGTGAGATTATTTTTAATTTCAGATTGGCTATACTAAAACAAGAATATTCATTAAATAACTATAGACCAACTATTTTGCAATATTTTGTTGAAACACCCATCGAAGAACAGAATAGATGTATATTTATTCCGTAAGTAATAAATAGAATAATACAACAATATAATAAAATAGAATAATAGAATAATAGAACAATAAATAGAATGATGCAACATATTAATATATTATTTATCTTTTATCCTTTAGGAATCCTAAGTTTGATGTTGAAGCCTTCCGCAAAGCAGCCAAATTATTAGAAGGCTATCATGATTTTAGAACTTTCATGACAACATTGTCAAAAGGATCTCCTCCAGTGCACACATTGAGATACATACATGAAGTCTCGATAGAGAAATCAACTAGCACCAGTTTGCCTTTCAATAACGCTTCCAATTATTTTGACTACTGGGATATAAAGTTTAAGGGAAAGTCGTTTTTATATCGACAGGTAATGAAATAGATAAAAATAGATTTAGCAATAGATAGATATAATACCTATCTGCAATAGATATATAGCAATAGATAGATATAATACCTACTTCCTGATGGAGAAGTTTGTTTTCGCAAAAAAATCCGGCTTGGTGCTTTTATTAAATTTTATTACCGAAGTTGAAAGTTTTTGCATATCTTCACGTTTCAGGGGTTTCTGAACGTTTTGGCATACCTTAGAAAAAATGGATGTGTGTGTGTATGTATGTATGTATGTATGTATGGATACAACTTTTCGTCCAAGTTTTCGGGCGCACGGATCAACCGATTTGAATGGTTCAAAAACCATTCGATTCCTATTAATAGGGAGATGTGCTGATTAGTTTTTGGTAAAGGCAGGTCCAGCCTTTTCGGAGATACTAAGTAAAGAGGGCAGAAAGTAGAAATCGAGTTTTCGAGAGAACGCAGCGTCCGATTTGAATGATTCAAAAAACATTTTACTTGTATTGACGAAATAAACAGCTGGTGATTTTTGAGAAGGCAGGTCTAGGGTTTCCGCAGATCCAATACAAAAAATAAAAAACAATGCCATTTCGCGGTCAGAAATGGTCATTAGATCATCAAATGCAGCGCGATTGTTTTAGAAAAAAGTTCAAAATTGTTCAAAAAAGTCATTTTTTTTTCAAAAATTTCAAAATTTGCAAAAATGTTATTTTTTCAAAGTTTTGATAAAAATCTTAAGACTTATTAAAAGCTCCTAAATTAGTTATTTTAGTTCTTAAACGATTTTTAAAAGTTTTAGTTTTTGTTTCAGGAAGTTTCAGCAATTTGCCTTAAGACACGATGCCATGCACTACTAGTTTTTTTCTATATAAAATTTAAAATTTTGTAAATAAAATGAGACCAAAATTGGAAAAGTATGTGTATGTATGTGAGCCGATTTTTGACTTATCGACGTTTTCTTAAAAAAACGGCTGGACCGATTTTAAAAATTTAATAGCCATTCGATGTGTCTCGAAAAGGACTAGCATCGATTAGTTTTGCGCGCCGATATGCAGAGCCGTTTCTTTGCAATTAGCAAAAAAAAAGTGTAACAATTGTTGTCCACGTTTTAGTGCACAATTTTGAAACAATTTTAAAAATGTTCGAAAGTTATTGGTTGGGAATCGCGTTTCTGCTAAAGATCGGCAGGGTCGTTTCTTCGTAATTAAATGTTGGATTTTTTTATGATTTTGGTGTAACTTTGCATAAAGATAGATTTTGTAGTCTAAAATAACATACTAAAAATATTATAGGCCTTTGATTTTCGTTGCGCGCTTACGCGATTCTAATCAGAATCTATGCCGAAGCATATGTATGTTATTTGGTGTTTTGTAGGTAGCTACTGATTATAGTTGACGTTCACACTTAAATAAATTACATTTAAGACTACCTCTTCAGAATATTTGGTTTAACATATTTGATTTCATCCATTTATTGTTCTAAAAATGTATTTTATTTAAGTGTGATCGTCAACTATAATCAGTAGCTACTTACAAAATACCCAAAAATCTACAGGTACGTTTGAAATACATCAATTGGAGAAAATTTTATTTTCTAATTCTGAACTTTCGAACATTGCTTAAATAGATGAAATTCAATTCTTATTGATTGAGTTGATTATGTATACATATAGGAAAATAAATGCTAATTTCCTTAAGGTAAAATGGTACTTACAACTAGTTAATATGTTGTATATTTCTTTCTCTTTAGGTGAGGCGCATGGTAGGAGTCTTATTAGCAGTCGCACAGCACAGAATAACTGAGCAAGATGTTATTACGATGCTTCAAGTTCCCTCACCACATTCCTGGTGTACTAGTGTAAGATCGATGCCACCTCATGGTTTGTACTTATGTGATGTTGAGTATCGTGATGAAGATTTGATGTTACCTCTTGATTATATAGAAAAGCATCAAAATTCAAAAGAAATTTATGATACAGCGAACTTGCGGCACATTAAATATTAAATTGATAAAAGTAATTAATATAAAAATAGTTGTTAAAAATGGATCGTAAATTAAACCCTTCCCAACGTTCGGGTAAATCTAAATTATCCCACCATGCAGGAGATTTGTTTGCCTTGGGTTCCAAACAGTCGTCAAGCTCTTCCAAAGATATTTCAGACAAACGCAATACCTCAATGCCCATTTCCAAACCTCAGTGGGACTCCTCAAGCTCTAGTAAAGTCTCTTCCCTAATTGCTAGCAAACGTGAAGCCCCAACGTCGAGCGCTAGTGCTGTTCCTTCCAAAAAACCAAAATTAGTAACTGCTCTAACAAGACCTTTACCCTCAAAGTGCTTCAACTGTCACTGCGCCTGTTGTA